CACGATCCCCTCCAGAAAGATCTGGCAGACACTGGAGTTGTGGTACACTATTCCACTATAAAGAGATACTTGTACAAATATGGTCTTCATGGAAGAGTCATCAGAAGAAAACCTCTTCTACGTCCTCACCACAAAAAATCATCATTTGAACTTTGCAAATGAACATATAGACAAGCCTGATGCATTTTGGAAACAAGTTCTGTGGACCGATGAGGTTAAAATTGAACTTTTTGGCCGGAATGAGCAAAGGTACGTTTGGAGAAGAAGGGGCACAGAATTGAATGAAAAGAACCTCTGTCCAACTGTTAAGCATGGGGTTGGATCAATCATGCTTTGGGATTGTGTTGCAGCCAGTGGCACAGGGAACATCTCACGGGTAGAAGGAAAAATGGATTCAATAAAATTTCAGCAAATTTTGGATGGTAACTTGATGCCATCTGTGAAAAAGCTGAAGTTAAAGAGAGGATGGCTTCTACAAATGGATAATGATCCTAAACACACCTCGAAATCCCATGGGGGATTACATCAAGAGGCGTAAACTGAAGGTTTTGCCATGACCTTCACAATCTCCTGACCTCAACATAATTGAAAATCTATGGATAGACCTTAAAAGAGCAGTGCGTGACAGACAGCCCAGAAATCTCAAAGAACTGGAAGACTTTTGTAAGGAAGAATGGGCAAAGATACCTCAAACAAGAATTGAAAGACTCTTGGCTGGCTACAAAAAGCGTTTACAAGCTGTGATACTTGCCAAAGGGGGCAGTACAAGATATTAACTCTGCAGGGTGCCCAAACTTTTGCAGATGCCATTTTTTTGTTTTCTGTTATTTTGAAAGTGTAAATGATGGAAATAAAATCTAACTTTTGTTGACATAGTATAAGAATGTCTAATCTGTAATTTGATGCCTTTTGGAGATTTTTCCATCTTTCCTTGGCTTCTTTATGCACATTAATACAAATTTTTAGCTGGGGTGCCCAAACTTTCGATCCCCACTGTACAATTTATAGGTCACATTAAAGGTGGAAAAAGTTCTGAAATGATTTTATAATTTTTTTTGCATCACAGAAACATGATATTTTAAAAGGGATGTGTAGATTTTTATATCCACTGTAAGAATCTGTTTATTAAAAGTCTGCAGCTACAGTTTTTGCAGCAGCTGACTTTTAATTTTTGGAAAAATTATTGGAGCTCCGCTTTTACTTTTGTGAAAAGAATGCCACCTCGCATTAACCTCTTCCCGACCGGCTGTTGTATATAAACGGCCGGAGGGTGGCAGTGCAGGGTCGGGTGGCTGTTTATAAACCTCCCCGCACCCTGCTTGTGCGCGCTCCCTGGGAGCGCGCAGCACCGCGATCCGGTGCCCGCTGTGTCCTCCGGACACAGTGAAACACCGATCGTTGGACGAGACCTCTGTACGAGGTCCCGATCATGTGATCACTGATTGGCCAATCAGTGATCGCATGCAAAGTAGTAAGCAAGATGTCACTTGTGACATCATTGCTTACTACATGTGAAATCTGTGAATGATCACAGAGGTCACATGGTACAAGGCTATTCACAACAGCCTTGTACCATGTGACAAGCTGTGACCAATCACAGCTCACTCAGTACTTCTCAATGACTACAAGAATGCAGACAGAGAGAAAGAGAAATGTTTGCTTTTACATTTCCACTCCCTCCTAGATTGTGAGCTCGAAAGAGCAGGGCCCTCGAACCCCTTGTTTATTGTATTGTTACTGTCTTGTCTCATGTTCTGTCCCCCTTGCTACTGTACAGCGCTGAACATACCCTTTGGCGCTATATAAATACTGTATAATAATAATAATAATACATCCTATATGGGTGTAAAAGCAATCAGTGTAAAAAAAAAAAAATCTTCATCACCCCCCCACAAGTAGTACAGTGTCACCATGGTGACACTGTACTGCTAGGGTGACAGTATCTAAAAAAAAAATAAATAAATAATATAAAAAAATAAAAAAACAAAATGTAAAAAAAAAGTTTAAAAATTATAATTTTTGGTTATAAACTAATTTGGATTTTTTTTTTTTACTAAAAAGATGACGGAATAAATTTTGGCCAAGATTTATGATGAAATACTATTTATTTGCAAAATGTTATTTAAAAAAACACTTTTTTTTTCAAAATGTTTGGACTTTTTCATTTACATAGTAAAAAAAATAAAAATCCCAGCGGTGAATAAATACCACCAAAGTAAAGCTTTATCTGTCTCAAAAAAATGGTAAAAAATTCATTTGGGTACAGTGTTGCATGACCGTGCAATTGTCATTCAAAGTGTGATAGCGCTGAAAGCTGAAAAATTGCCCTGGTCAGGAAGGGGGTGAAAGTGTCCGGTCTGGAAGTGGTTAACTTGTTTCTCCTCTCTGACTCTTCTAAGAGTCCTTTGTGCTCTGATGCCATGTGTGACAGAAGGAACTGTCAGGGAGATTTCTTTGCAGGCTGTGTGGCCCTCTTTAAAGCACAGACGTTTTCCACCTTCATGAGCTCTATGTTCTGCTGGTTTGATGAGAAACTATGAGACCTCTCTTGCCTGCCATCTCTCACACAATAGCAGAGAGGATACAATCAAGTTGGTAATGAACAGTATGTCAAATTGTGTTATAATAGCGGCTCGTAACGTGTGCACAGGAGCGCATGGCAAGGCTGCTGAAGTGATACTGATGGCGACTTTCTATTTTTACCACCTGCAGACTCCTGCACATTGAAAGGTTTTTATTTTAGGGAAGAGGAGTCATGTTTTATGATGCATAACATATTGTAGAGGAACAGCAGGTTATCTTTAGCTCCAGTTAAAGCAACAAAGGGATTTTGCAGTGGCAATAAAAAGACAACTCCTGTTTTTTTTTTTCCCTTGTAAACCTCTGTTGGGAAGCAGCTTAATGCACATAACGTATTAATAGGAATATAAAGTATCAACGCGCCTAGCACTGTATGCACAATATAGTAGATGCAATGAGTCATTTGTTACCAATTGCAGATAAAACGGTTTTATGTTGCATGACGCACATTGGGAAAAAATTACATATTCAAAATGTCAATGAGCTGGTAATGAGATAGAAACTAGGTTAGCCAATTATAGTGATATATTGTGTTGTGTTTATTTAGCTTGATACAAGAGATTAATGAGAGCAGGGCATGGTAAACCTTTGCACTACAATTATTGCAGAATATACCTAGTCACACTTGCCAATGGCTCATGGGAACTGTAGTGCATGCATGAGTCTGTGTATGCAAAGACTAGTTCTGCATTGGATCATCACTCGAAAGTCACTGTGAAGTCAGGCCTGGATTTGTAAAAGACTTCTCAGAACAGGACTGCATGGGGTAATCAGCTTCTCTTTTGGTAGAGTCAGTAGGTTGTCAGGTGATAATCATCTAGCAAAATAAAGCTGCCTAATGCAGGTCATAGATGGGTCGAAAATCGGCCGATTTTTCGGCCGAAAATAAAATTGACCGATTTTCGGATCGTTAGTGGGCTAATTGTTCGGCCATTTTTCGGTATTTTGGCAGATTTTTTTTATCGGTAAAGTTGGAAAAAAATCATCCGATTTTGCCGATCGGCCGATTTTCGCGGCAATGATGGGCAAATCGGCCGATCTTTTTACCGATAAAAAAATCTGCGCATGAGCAGTGACCTGCAAGAGGAAGACAAAAAGAAGATGAAAAAAGAAGAAGAGGATGAAGAAGAAGAAGAGGAAGAGGATGAAGAAGAAGAAGAAGAGGAAGAGGATGAAGAAGAGGAAGAAGAAGAGGATGAAGAAGAGGATGAAGAAGAGGAAGAGGAAGAAGAAGAAGAAGAAGAAGAAGAGGATGAAGAAGAAGAAGAGGATGAAGAAGAGGAAGAGGAAGAAGAAGAGGATGAAGAAGAGGATGAAGAAGAAGATGATGAAGAAGAAGAAGAGGATGAAGAAGAAGAAGAGGAAGATGAAGAAGAGGATGAAGAAGCAGAATAAGAGGATGAAGAAGATGAAGAAGAGGATGAAGAAGAAGAGGAAGAAGAAGAAGAAGAGGATGAAGAAGAAGAGGATGAAGAAGAAGAGGATGAAGAAGAGGAAGATGAAGAAGATGAAGAAGAAGAGGATGAAGAAGAAGAAGAGGAAGAAGAAGAAGAAGAGGAAGAAGAAGAGGAAGAAGAAGAAGAAGAAGAGGATGAAGAAGAGGATGAAGAAGAGGAATTCCAGTCCAGCAAAAAGTGTCCCTGCAGAGAGCTTCTCTATTTCTTTGACAGTTCCTTGACATTTATAGCAGTTGCAACAATGTATCTGTTTCTGAATAAAAACATCTGTATCCTAAATGGATACAAATAGATACATTGTTGCAACCGCTATAAATGTCAAGGAACTGTGAAAGAAATAGCGGAGCTCTCTGCAGGGACACTTTTTGCTGACTGTAGACGGGATGAAAATCGGCCGATTTTTTTACCGTTGCTAGTAATGTCGGCCGCTTGAACGACCGATTTTTCGTTTTTTTAAAAGAAAAATCAGCCGATTTTCGACCCATCTATGGCCTGCATAAGGCTGGCCATACACTATACAATTTTCTGTCCAATTTCTGCCCAATTTCTTTTATATTTACCTTCAACTATGTAGTGCAAGAGCCTGCCTATTTGGATACAATTAAAAGTGTTGTTAGGTTTGACCTCCTATTACATGGTTTTTGGTAAATCTAAACCAAAAATCTCAAGAATTGTATAATGTATGGCCAGCCTTAAGTGCTATATAATTTATTACCAAGGACTTTCTAAAGTTGTTCCATCCATTTGTGAAAAACTAAAGTTATAGTGTTACTAAACCCACAACAGTAAAATCAGTCTGTATATGCAGTAAAGCATGCTTGTTATACTCACTGTGGAACCTAAGGGGTTGATCCTGCACATTGTGTAAAAAGGATGTTTGATCCTGTCTTCTACGATCTTCCCCTTCATCTACTACGTGTAATCCATCTGCTGATAGAACAGAGCCTTGGGGGCAAGCTGCATATGCTCAGTTTGGTGTGTATTGCTAGAGAGTGTTTTCTTTTCTTGGGGCGGTGCATATGTGATCAGCACAGGGCCAATCAGCACTGTTCAGACAGAAGGTCAGGGGTTATGCAGTCTCATAGGATAACCAGAAGAGAATGAAAACTCCTCCTACACGTTTTAGCTAGTGTTCGGCTGGACACTAATAGAAATCACAAGACTGCTCTAAATGCTGATGAGAAAAGGTAGCAGTGTATATTTACTAAAATAATTGCATTTCCATGTTCTGTGTACTGTGAGATACTGGATATAGTGAATGCAGGCTCCTGGGTTTAGTACCACTTTAACATGTGCTCTGCTGGATACTGATAGAAGTCACAAGACTGCTCTAACTGTTGATGAGAAAAGGTATTTAGCAGTTTATATTTACTAAAATAATTGCATTTCCATGTTATTTGTACTGTGGGAGACCAGATATAGTGAATGCAGGGTCCAGGGAGACCAGATATAGTGAATGCGGGGTCTTGGGGTTAGTAACACTTTAAAATTATTTGGGCTTTCTCTCTTGGCTGTAAACTTCTTAGTTATCTCATTGTTAGGTTGCCTCCATCGCTACTTTTTTTTCAGGAAACCATAAGAAATCCATCAAGTAAATCTAGCCATACACGGGTTAAATTCCAAAAGAATTTTCTTCCGAAAATCTTTTCTAAGAATTTTGCACCAATAGTGGGTCACAGAAATGGCCGATTTTCATGTGACCATCAAATTTGAGTTATCGAGCATGTTGGAAATTTTTTCAAAAAACAAAATAATTTCTAATCAATGATGGGAGAATCGTGCGGGAAATATAAACAAAAAAGAAATGAGCGACAGCTGCAACCTGGAAAGAAAAGAAAATTCTTGGTCTTAAAATCACTTTTCTTTAACAACATGAGGTGAAACTGAAGGCTTGGTTGGTCGAATTTTGAAATCAATGGTGGCACTATTGGATTACAAAATGCACGAAATTTCCGATTTTCTATAGAAAATTCATTCGGAGTTCGACCCATGTATGGCCTGCATAACAGTGAGAGATACTAATATTCTGCTCAAACCTGCCATGGTAGTGCTGGTGCTGATGTTTGCTTCTGCATTTTCTGAGCAGAAGACATATTGGGGTTTATTTACTAAAGCTGGAGAGTGCAAAATCAGACTCACTTCTGCATAGAAACCAATCAGCTTCCAGGTTTCATTGCCAAAGCTTCATTGAACAAGCTGAGGTTAGAAGCTGATTGGTTTCTATGCAGAAGGGAGTCTGATTTTGGACTCTCCAGCTTTAGTAAATAAACCCCATTGTGACTTTTTATTAATCTATTCTTTTTATTCAACATTAGTTTTGTTTGTTCCCTTACAGAGTCTATAGTCTGCTGTAATAATAGCAGGCGAGAAGGTCTGTTCATATTGTGAAAGATACTGCAGCTCACAGTTATGAGAATATGGGACCTAGGTGATTCCCTGACTTTATCTTCAGTTCTTTTGTCTCATCACCTCCTTTCACACCAGATCACCTTCAGGTGTATACAGGGGCGGACTGACCATTTGGAAACTCGGCACTGCCCGAGGGCCCGGGGTCAGTAGGGGGCCCCATGAGATGCCCCTGGTACCTTTTTCATAGGCTTTTTTTTGAATTTGGGCAAGGACACAGGGGCCCCATGATCCCCTATTGCCGGGGGCCCCAGGAGTTGTCAGTCCGCCCCTGGGTGTATAGCTTCACTACGAAATACAGAGAGCACCCAGTCTTCTCTGTTAGGACTCATTCAGATGTGTTGAATTGCACTGGGCAATGACGTGCAACAAAGTCTTGTTTTCTATGAGGCAGAGAGCATTTTATCCCACTGCAGCTAATTATGTATTTTGGCACATCGCCACATGCTGCAGCTCACAGTGAACTACAGAAACCCTCTGCAACGCACATCATTGGTGCATGATAATGCCTGCACATTGCTGTGAGTGAGCCCTTAGAAGTCATGTATGTTCATAAGATGCCACTTTGGTCATGATATAGATGTATACTAACAGATCTATCAGTTTATGCTGTGTTGTATCTAATCTGAAGAATGCTAGCTGCCAGCGGAGGTTCAGTATATCTAGTGGCACAGATCTACAGAAGATATTTTTTATGCATGTTATGCATATTATATTGGAAAGCTTCCCCTTTCAAGGTCATATGACACAGCTCCTTAGGCTTCCTAGTCAAAAAGCTTCTTGTTGCAGTATGTGAAAGACAAGTACAACTCTTGACATTTGTGGTTTACTGCTTATACCTTGGATGCAGTTTGCTTTGTTTATGATGGATCTTGTGCTAAGCGACATGTCCTTGAATATGGGCAGCACAGTGGCTGAATGGTTAGCACTTCCGCCTGGCAGTATTAGGGTCGTTGGTTCAAATCCCAACCACGGCACCACCTGTGTAGAGTTTGCATGTTCTCCCCTGTGCCTGCGTGGGTTTCCTCTGGGTACTCCGGTTTCCTCCCACACTCCAAAGACCTGCCGGTAGGTTAATTGGATCCTGTCTAAATTGGCCCTAGTATGTGTATGTATGAATGTAAGTTAGGGACCTTAGATTGTACACCCCTTGAGGGTTAGGGACTGATATGAATGTACAATATATATGTAAAGTGCTGTGTACATTGACAGCACTATATAAGTACTGAAATAAATAAATTTGGACATCTGCATCAGCTGAAATGGTTTGAAGGGTGATAGCAAAGAGTAATAGACAAGTAATGGGGATAGACCCAGAATCAAAAAAAAACAAAGTGCTAGGGTTGCCATAGACAGACAGATATCTCAGCTAGAACAATGAGCAGGGAAATATCTTTCCATTCTCAAATGTGTTGCATGGAACCCACTGCAATCCTCACCTGTCAGAACGGACATGCATGCATTCTTCATTATTTCTTTTGGTACGTAGCAGTGTATAGGATTGGGCTTGTACAAAGATATTTCATCTTGTTGTAAAATCCACACATGGTAACACGCAACTCTAAATGAGATACTTATTTCTTCCCTGTAGGGGTTGGGAAAGAATTATTGTGAGCAGTGCTTGATATTTGGACAACTTGCTTATCTATAGTCACCCCTAGGAGGCAGAACATGAGTTGCTGGTGAAGACAGCACATTGTTGGCTCCAGTTACAATCCTGCCTGCATAGAAAGGTATCTTTTACCATTAAACCATAAAATTCATTGTTACGGTCAGACACTCATGGAGAGTGTATTTTCAGGGCAGCACCACAGGCCTACATTACAATTTGGACAACAGTAAAGAAATGGCAAACCCAGATACTCCTGCGTTTAGGGATGGACTCAGTATAGTTAGAACCACGTCACGAAATTGTTGGGATATGCACGCCTTTCTGCCCTCAAAAGACCAGGGAAGTCCAAATATACTGAATAGAGAAAAACAAACAGAGGAATCCTCAGAGCCATCTGAGGAAGAGACAAGTCCTCAAAACACGTCAGCCTGTTGGAGGTCCAGAGTTCCCATTACGGACAGATACGTAGTTCAGATTGGACAGCGCTGTTCCTTCACGATGTGCCTTTGACTGTATTGTCATTTTTTGAGTACAATACCTACTTTTAACATTTAATCTCCCCCATCCTCTGGAACTCACTACCCCAATCCATCAGACTGTCACCTTCCCTCCTCACCTTCAGGCGCTCCCTGAAAACCCACCTCTTCAGGGAAGCCTACCCCACCCTCACCTAACAGCCGCTGCCCTTCCCTCCTCCTACCACTCCATCCTCCACAGCCTTTTGCTCCTGTACCTCTACCCCTCCTCCCTCCTAGATTGTAAGCTCGAAAGAGTAGGGCCCTCTTACCCCTTGTGTGCTGTTTGATGTTGCTGTACTGTTTCATGTATTGTCCCCCCCTCTATTGTACAGCGCTGAGCAAACCCTTTGGCGCTATATAAACTCGATAAATAAATAAACACATTTTTTAAGGTATTGCACTAAGCTGGTGTGCCCTCTGTTTGTTTTTCTCTGTTCATTACAATTTGGACAACAGTGTATACTCTCCAGCGCTCCAGGGAATCAATGCCAAAGGAAGGCCAGGGGAACCAGAACAAAAAGAAGCCTATGGATAGTGTTTCGGAGATGCAGCCCTCCTCAGATGGGGAAATCAACAACTAGAAAAAAGCATACAGGTGGCGCAAACACCTAGTGCATTATCCATGGTTTATTTAAAATGGAAAAAAGAACAAAAAACATACTCACAAACATAGCATATATGTAAAGCTTGTAAGACCATGGAAATGGCCAAACAAATGGCTGAGTGTCCAATTGACAGTGCGGTCGACTACTGACGCGTTTCGGGGACAAATCCCTTTCCTGACAGCTTATAAGCTACATTCTACATTACAATTTGAGTTAAAGAAGCACTATGGTTTTTTACACACTATTTCTTTTAAAAATTCATGTGAACAATATTGGCTTAAAGGCAAACTCTAGGTACACTCTAAAGCCATGATTTGGAGTTTAATTACCGTTAATAAAGGATCAAAAACTCTTTTTCATTTCCATTGTAAGAACATATTTCCTAGCTCAAAATCTGGCCCCAGTAAGTCCTTGCTATATCATCTTCATTTACAAAACATGGCTCTGAGGAGTATGGTAATGGTGGTTGTTATCTCACAGCCTGATGACATGGTGTCCATTCATAAATGGTATCTCCCAGTACTCGGTGCCACCACCATCTTGGGGAATGCTAAGGGGTGCTAAATTGGGCATTGATGCAGACAGAATTACATGGTATTTTCAAGGAATGCTTGGACACTGCCCTGGAAAGACCCTGCAGTCACAAAATCTGCCCCCAGATTTTGAAAATAAGCAATAAGATTAATTATAGAATAGATGGACACAAGACTCTCTCTAGCTCAAGCAGCAAACTCTTTCATGCAGGCACTGGGTTAGGGAACAGTATATTTAGTGGCAGCCCTGCTTATAAAGTTGTTCAGTCTTGATTGCATAGCATGATCACTCCAGTCAGTGGAATATAGATTAATGTGAACTGTAAATACATCCCTGTATAATTGTTCCCAGCTATTATTTATAGGGTTTACATATAATAATATGTTTTCCTTTGGAGGCCAAGCTGCTATTTTGGTCAGTAAATGTTGCATGGGAAGAAATAAGTAATATTTTCTTGACACACACACAGCATTCGTTGTGTATATATCATTCATAGACCACTAATAATGATAAAATTGTATGGTTAATGGAAATATGTACCAAGAGGTATGTGGAGGCTGCCAATTCTGGCCTCTAATTCTGTAAATAAAATAATTCTGGCGCATAGAAACAATTATTCCATACAGCATACAGTATGAGCTGTGACCATATGGTCTAGTAAAATATCCAGTCTCTGTGAGGGGTAGAAAGCAGGTAGGTGGCCACCATCCAGAGAGTAGCCAGCTCTGTACAAATGACAAATAGAAGAAGAGAAAAGGAGGCACCACCTGAGTGTA